TTAAGGAATTTGAAAAAATATTCTCAATAAAATATAAAGTTCCCCCATATCTTCGCTACATCTTCTGAAAATCTTTTACATAAACACCTCTTAACCATTTACTATCCATCTGCACAATTGAGATTTATGTAATTAAAAAATTTAATATTGGCATTCTTTTTTTATTGTATTTTAAATACTAACATTCATTGTGAATCATGAACTTTAAGACTAGCTTCTAGTTTTGTTTTTCTAGATTATAGTAAATTTACTCACTTCTTGCACTAATATTTCTTTTTCTCGGGTTGCCTGGAATAAATCGCTTGTTAGCGATAAGGCAGCCCGTTGCCTTCCTATTATAAAGTGAATATGAGTTAATTTATTAATAAAATACCAAATGGAATAGTCCTGCTCTTTTTCCCATGCTTTACCTTAAATATTGTTTACCTGTGTTTGAAGCCCGGAAATGAACATTAAATTTAAGTTGCTAGATAAAAAAGTGCGCTTTTGCGATACTGCGACAGTAATGACTACCGGAAATAACGTCATATTTCGTAGAAAATAAAATATATATATAGGGTGTCTCAGTAAGAGTGCACTTTTTAAAATTTTAATATTTTTGTTGTCCTGCAAGTGGCAACTCTGAAATTTGACAGCTGTCACCTCTGTTTATTCCGATTATTAAAAATGGAGCGCTTTTTAAAAGAACAACTCGTTATAATTGTGAAAACTCATTACAAAAGAAGCGCTGAAAACGCTCGCAAACTTCACCAAATTTTCAGCCGAGAAAGTGCACCTTAAGCAGGGTCCACACTATGCCGCGGTAGGCCGGGAGGGTTGACCCGGGTGGGCTAAGCCGGGCGGGTACGTTCGGGCCGGCACGACGTCCACACTGAAAACGAAGCCAACCGGGCTATTTCTACCTACATTATTTAGTTTCAACACCAAGACTGGTGATTTAGTTGAAGAGTACTTAAAATGAACAATAAAAAACCCTACTTAAACAAACTGAATCGAAAATAAAATAATTCGTCTACTTCGGTCGGAGGTTTAATTGTAACTGAAGCCGCTCGGGGCGCTCGGCACGTCCCCATTCTATATTTTTGTTCGTCTCGGCTCGGCTTCCTTTGATCTGTACCTACTTTATGCGGGTTGGGATCGGCACGGCCCGGGCCGGCATTTTCTAACCCGGCAAAGCCGCCCGGGGCGTCTACATCAACGCGGCGTAGGCCGCCCGGGTCAGCCCGCCCGGCCTACCCCGGCATAGTGTGGACCCTGCTTTATGTGTCAACCATTCGAAGAGTGGTCAAAAAATTTGAAGAAACTGGGTCAATTATGGACTATAAATAAGAAGATCATAAGAATCCTTTGCGTCAACGTACCGGTCGGTCCCTGAAAACATTGCTGCTGTAAACGACAGTGTCGCCGAATACCCAAAAACATCAATTCGACGCAGAAAATTTTGACTAAAGACCTCCACCTTCATGCGTACAAGATTTAGTTAACTCAGGAGCTCAAACCAGCAGACCAAGGAAAGCACTGGCCATTTGCTCAATGAGTAATGGAGCAAAGGGAAGTCGATGCCAATTCTTCGAAAAAAGTCATTTTATCCGATGAACTGAACAGATTATCTCACGAAATTCTGATGTCAACTGGCCACCAACATCGTGTGATTTAACGCCGTGCGATTTTTTCTTTGGGGTTTTGTGAAATCTCGAGTTTATGCGAATAAACCCGAAACCATTCCTGAGCTCAAATCGGAAATCCAACGCGTCATCGGTGAGATACTGCCACATCTCTGTGCAAAAGTCATGGAAAATTTCATGAAAAGTGTAATGGCCTGTCATCGGAGCCGTGGAGGTAATTTTCCGGATATTTTATTCCATACTTAATCGGAACATGTCTTCTTTACAATGCAATAAAAATATCAGAACTCTGTCATAAAATACTTGTCTTTATTTAAAAATTAAAAAAATTGTGCGTGTACTAGGTGTACACACGTAAGAAGTGAAACTTCTTTATGATCTTATTTTTCGAAAAATGATCTACTATATGCAACTTTACAGAAATTCGTTAAATTAGATAAAGTTTAACAAAAGGCTTATATTATCATAGACATGAATACAAATATTTCATTTTACCTTATTACTACGAAGATTGTTATAGAATATCATTAATTGTAATAGAATTATTACTATCATTGAAAAACGTGACGATTTGCTACAAAATTTCTCCCATACGTCGATAAAGAAGTTTCATTCCAACGCCGATAAAGAAGTTTGACTTCAAAAAGCAACATGGCGCGTAACCGAAAAATGTGACGCGTAACGAAAAAATTTTACACTAAATTTTTTTCCCGCCTCGATAAAGAAGTTTCACTTCAAAAAGACACCCGTTACTTGTCACATATCTCAATACCAAACCATGTTCAAATAAGGGGTTCAAAGAACACATCAAATTGCTTCAGATTATGTTTCTCAGCAGGATGCTTCCTAGAAATTGAAGGCATCGCATTTCTTAATAAATTAATGCATTTAGCCCCTTCGTTTGAAACTGTGACAATAAACTTAATCTCGTACACCTTAAACTAATTAAAAGTTGTTTTTTGCTGTTCTGTGTTAAATAAGCGGGAAATTCTTCCTACAACCAGCTAGTGTAAGTAATGAGTAATCATTCTAAAATTCAGCAGTGTACCTATGTACTCTAGAGATCCGATCGTTGCAGTCAAGAGTTATTAATTCATTTATTCTAATTAATTTGCGATATTTTATTTTTAAAAGAGTACCGAGACTTTTTTACGCCTCCTTTTTCTCTCGGCCTACATCCTCTGTCTTCTTTGCCGAAGAGTATGGATGTCTACCAAGTTAAATTTAATGACGTGTAATAAGTGGTATCTGTATCTTATATTCCATAATAAACATATTTTAGTTTATTTGATTAAAAACTACTGGTAAGTTTGAATTAAAGGGCTAAACAGCTTATATATATTATAATACAATGGTGAATTTATCCTAAAGCCTAGGCCCTGCTACATATAACATAAGATAATATACCTAATGTATAAACCTTGTAGAATAATGTGCCTTAAATAATGTACAATTTAAGTTTCGGTTTTGTCGTATATAGGTAATTTAGGAAGAATATTAAAGTTTGCGTCGCGTGGTAGTAATTTTATTAATTTATTTCGTAATCCTACAGCTAAAATATATTATATTTAACCATAAAACAATTATACTAAATACATACATGATATATTATATACAAAAAAATTCAAACATTTACAAAAGGAAAAATTAATAAAAAGTATTACAACATTTAACTAAGTAAAACCTAATTCGGTTGTGTTGTGTCATGGTGTGAAAGTGACGGTATGTATATGTACTATGTGGGGTGTGCTCATGATGCAGGCGATTTAGCGCTATGGATATTCTTAATGCTCCTTTTAAGCATATTCCGCGATAGCTTAAACAAGTCAAGGCTTTTTTAAGCTATTCCTATTCCTCTTTTACGTTTATTGTACCTTGGGCATAAGTTTAATACTTTGTTGCAGCACTTTTCTGTTCCTCTTGCCATGTACCCCGGCCTTATCCACCTAAGTTTTTAGTATTTTCATTGTGACATCTGTCTAGTTATTATGATAATGACCTTAGTTATTATTCTTATTGATGTATTATTTATTTTATCTATTCATCGTTCCATGGAACTTTGACACATCTGTAGTTTTGTATGATTCGCATAAGTGAACGCCCAAGTTTGAGATCCATAATGTGTTAGTATAGGTAGATGACGGATATTTACTGGATCGAATCTACAAACTACTTTGACTCTACCGCTCAGCTTTAGAGCTCGACATGACCCATACCTATGTCAAAAACAGCAAAAAGGAGTAATATGTTGATTATTTATTATCTAAAGTCCCCTATTGTACGCAATAATAAAAATAAGAGAAAATAATATTTATCATGTTTTTTCATGTAGGTCGGCATTAACTTTAGTCGGCTAGTAGGTATTGTCCATTGTCGACATTTTTATAGATAAAAATAAATATATCAAGCATTTTTTTAATTGAATTATATTTGCTATGCCAATTTGTTGTCTTCGAGTTTACCCATGATATGTGTTATCTATAATTCTGGTTCTTATATTTATTTTTTTATGGCTCTGGCACGATTTGTGCATTAGCCAGCGTCAAGTATAGGATTTTTTATAATTCGTGCTTGTCTTTTAGAAATTCGACAGTGTCCTCTAAGTACGGTTTAAGCACTCGCCCGGTACCGCACAACCCTCCCAAAGGCCGAGAACAAATTTAAATTAAATTAAAACTTGCCCTCGAACCGGGAATCGAACCCGGTACCCCTCACCTAGCTGCCACTTAATAAGACCGCTAGGCTATGAGGCCCCTTCTTATATTTTTAAAGGAATGTCTGTGCGGAATCTCGGAATCGTGCAGTCCACCAATTAACAAGTTAAAAAGTTATGTGGTAATAACTTATCGAGGTTCGAGACGAAAATTTGTTGATATTCCATTCGCAATTACAAATTAGTAGAAATTTATTTACTGTATAAAACTTTCAATTGTCATTAGTCATTTATCATTGACAGTTGACATTAGTGTATGGACAATAGTCATTGAATGCTACAACATCGACAAAAATCATTCAGCATTCTTGTTTCGACTGTCGCCAATTCGTGATTCTAGTTCACGTTTGTATATAATTGTTGAAGCCCATCAATTTGCGTAAAGTACAAATTTATAAGTTTTATATGAGAGGTTAACCACGTATAACCTTTGCATTAGACTACTATTAAAAATTACCTTTGAGAAATTACTTGGTAGGAACTTTGTTGAGTCCATTGGTCTATGAGCTGTGATGGATTACTGCAACAAAACAATCACAAGCAAGAAGTTGATGATGGAAGAAGGTTACAAATGATTTTGGTACTGCCTCTTGAGTGTTGTCCTACAAGTAACCGAGTTGGTCGTTGATCGACAACCAATTTATGTACATGTTATCGGTGACATGAGCACAAATAAGAGACGCGGGCCCAGCAGTTCCAGTTGCGCAGTTCCAGGTGTTCCTGCGCTTGTCAACGTACCGACCGCCATGTCAGCTGACCTGGCCTCTTTATTTGAATGCCCTGTTTGTTTCGACTATGTCTTGCCACCGATCCTCCAGTGCCAAAGTGGACATCTTGTCTGCTCAAGTTGTCGGCCGAAACTGTCCTGCTGCCCAACCTGTCGCGGCCCTCTTGGAAATATTCGAAACCTTGCCATGGAAAAAGTCGCAAGCAATGTCATGTTTCCCTGTAAACACTCTAACACTGGCTGTACAGTAACCCTTGTGCACACTGAAAAAGCAGAGCATGAAGAAGCCTGTGAATTTCGGCCATATTCCTGCCCTTGCCCTGGAGCATCTTGTAAGTGGCAAGGAGGACTAGACCAAGTAATGCCACACTTAATGATGTCACACAAAAGTATAACAACTCTTCAAGGTGAGGATATTGTTTTCTTAGCTACAGATATAAATTTACCTGGAGCTGTTGACTGGGTCATGATGCAGTCTTGTTTCAATCACCATTTCATGTTGGTACTTGAAAAGCAAGAAAAGTTTGATGGTCATCAACAATTCTTTGCAATAGTACAACTTATAGGATCTCGAAAGGAAGCTGAGAATTTTGCATACAGATTGGAATTGAATGGACATCGTAGGAGGTTAACATGGGAAGCAATGCCTCGTTCCATACATGAAGGTGTCTCATCAGCAATTATGAATTCTGATTGCTTGGTATTTGATACTTCCCTTGCGCAACTCTTTGCAGATAATGGTAACCTTGGTATAAATGTTACTATCTCAATTGCCTAATCCGCATTTCAGTGCCTGCACACATGTTGCAGAGATAGTATGAACAGTGTACATTAGTAAACAGTGTTTCTTAAAGACATATATATATATATGAGACCATTATTTTATGTTTAGTGCATCCATTCGCATGACAAATGTTTGTCTCTTTGATATCTTTTATATGTATACTATATATGAAAAATGCCAAAAATGCTTTCATTTTGTAATTAATGTGTGTTCAAGTTAGTGATAAGTAGGAAAAAATTATATGTAAAGATCATACTACAGTGTAAAATCTATAAATTTTTTTACCAATATAAAATACAAATCAACAATTACCACTTAGCTTAAGCCATAATAATGGCATGCCTTCTATGTATTGTGTTTAATGAATATAACTTTATTTGCATTTAGACACTAATTATTTTTGTTGACATTAAACTATCCCAGTATCTTATATTTTAAAAAGACAAGATTTTGCAGTGTGATATGACCTGACATTTTGTGTGAACAAGTGATCGTAATATTCCAAACAAAGAACAAATATTTTAAAATTGTATTAATTTGTGTATATAATGCATGATTTCTAAGCTCGTGTTATTTGATATTGTGACGCTTCTAGATGCTGGCTTCAACTGAGTTGAATCACAAATTTAGCTGTGATGCAAAGTATAGTCAGGAAATGAAAGAGTTGGCCTTATTTTATTAAGAAATGAGAACATTCTGTCATGTTGAAAACTAAGATACTATTTTGTTTAAAATATCCAATGTGATTTGGAAACTCAGTGTAGAAAAATGACTGTTGTAGATATTAACATTAACCCTAGAATCTAGATAGTAGAAGTTAGTTTAATATTTGAAGTATTGGTTGCTGAAAGTTTGGATGTGATTTTACACTAAATAGTTGTGATTTTACATTATACGTGTATTAAATTTTTAGTTAAAAGTTTAAACAATGACAGTACATATATCCATGGTATAGTGAACATTATTCTATATATCCTGTCTTAAGAAAAAAATATTATTCATATCTAATAATACATAAATAGTCTTCTCAATTATTCTGTGTTGTCTGTATTGACTATATACAGAAAACCTTGTTTTTATTGAAGCGTGGGCACTTTAATAATTTAGGTTAAATTTCACATACCATGTTTCAAAAGAAATCAAGTCAACTAATTTTTGCATCTCAAAACCAATTATAGGCATCACTATATTGTTAGCTATAAGATGAATCAAAACTTAAATATGTAAACGCTGAATATTTATCTTTTATATAAATTGCAAGAGTTGCAAATTAATTGTATGTAAAATTACTAGTTTATAAAAATGGTTGTCTCAAAACTTATTATTCGAAGGTTAATTTATTTGTGCATTACTTCAATCTCAAACAAGAAATATTTTATATGCCTCTATTCGTTTTATCTACTTTATTCATGTTACTTAAATTTCTTTAAGTAAATTTTAGGGTATATTTTATGATCAATATTATTTACTTTCATACTTTGTATCTGTCTATAATAAACTATCAAGGTATATGGTTGAATTAAAAAATTTCAATATATGATTGTTTTTATTTATTTTAATTGTATATCATAATGTATAGGTATGCAGCAACAAAAGAAGGCGTAGAATTGTTTAAAAAATAGTATTACTCTTGCCCTGTTCTGGCCTTGGCTGGAAATTAATTTCTACATAAACCACAACAAATGATGTTTAATATTTTGTCTGAGAATGTTCTTATCCTACCAATTTCATTACAATATATTCGTGATATTTTTATGATACAATTAAATAGAATAATCTGTTTATAGCTTCTTGTAGAAAATTTATTTTCCAATAAAAATATTGATTGCCGAAACCAGGGATTGAACCAGGGACCTTTAGATCTTCAGTCTAACGCTCTCCCAACTGAGCTATTTCGGCGATACACACAAGTACAAAAAAGGACAAACTTTGTTAATTAAGTCATATCAATAAACAACTATAAGTGATAAGCAAATGTTCGTAGTAATTCAAATATAATTTTGTATATCAAATAAAAATTATGAAAGCCAGAACGAAGATCTTTTTATAAGTCAGGCTAAGGCAAAAATACCATAAACCCTTTTCCTGGTTTCAATTAATATTTAATATCATTTAACATTACTTTTCTTTTTCTATAAATAGTTTTATCATGTTATGTGGTTATTGACTTGTAATATTTATATTGTATGATACTTTGTAGATGTTGGCAGTAAAATAATGCAACACTGGGAAGAATATTTTCAGTGATTATAATGGAGTTTTAAAAGTAAATACATATAATTATTAACTTTTATTTAATAATCAACTCTGAATTTATTCTATATAAACTATAAACATACAACTGGTAAAGCCAAAAATAACCAATTCAATGCTTTGTATATTAAGTGGTTTTCTACATATTAATGCATCACAACAAATATGTAGATAACATAACTCAAATGAAGCCAGTACATTTAACAAAGACAACCATTTACTTAGTAATACTTTTTTAAATAAATAGAGTTTACTTAAATCCATTATTATCATTATCTAGTGTTATCTGATAAAGAAATACTTGCACTTAGAATACTTTAATTGGGGTTACTACTCTGTGGTAATAACGGTGATGGCAATAGACATGTAGACGTCGGTGAGTTACTGTCATCCAGAAGAGAACCATCCTTTTCCATAGGGAATGAGTCATTTATATCCTGACTGAATGGGTCCCCACTCGATGAAGCTCTATGGACAACTTCGAAGGCATCAGATGGTTGATCTGTTTTAGTATCGATTAATGTAAATTCATCAAATTTATCCAAAATGGGACTAAACGGATTTCTTGGTTCGAAGGGATAAAAATTTTTAGGCTCTGGACTGAATGGGTCCTTTTGTTCCCTTGGAGTGTCTTCTGCCAGACTATTATCCCCACTTAGATCTGACAAATCTATATCATAATTGACATTACTCAAGCCAGGAACTTGGTCGGAGCCAAAATCATCAGGAGTCATCAATTCATCGATGGATCTTGAATCAAAAGGTGTGAAACCGAGTGGTGAAGGCGTCAACAGTTCTAGCGAGTTCGTTTGTTTCAATTCCCATGGGTTTATGGGTGACTTTGAGGGCGATTTTTCTTCTGGTGTCTGAGAAAATGTTATGATTGGCTCATCTTGAATTTTAGGTGTATCAGTAAATTTGTTATGATCAATTTCTTCTTGAAAACTGGTGGTTGGCTGATTTTTAATATTATCCATCTCGATTTTAGGAATTTCTATTTCAACCGCCATGTTCGCAGCACTATTGTTATCTTTTGATTCAGTTGATCCCAATTGAGTGGATTCTTGCAAAGATTTTTCTATTAATATTTTTTCTGCGTCTATATCTTCAAGAAGCGAGGTCGAGGTCTTCAAAGAACCAAGTCGTGGTAATTCACGTCTCGGTTTTATCTCGAGTGGAGTTTTGGCGAGGACATCTTGAACTTTCTTAGCAATCTCCTTCTGTAAAATAAAGAATTAATAAATAAAAAAGTTTTGCCGAAACCAGGGATTGAACCAGGGACCTTTAGATCTTCAGTCTAACGCTCTCCCAACTGAGCTATTTCGGCGATATCAATTCCATTGAAATTGGACAACATATTCAAGAATAAAATTTAATTTAAAGATTAGCTTTTATTTAGAATTGTTTTAATTGTAAAAGTCATATTTATCTGTAATTTTGTTTTTGTTAATTTTTTTTCTTACTAGAGTGGCTTGTAAAAAATCGCTTGCTAATGATAAGGCTATATTCTTCTATTAATCGAAAAAAATAATTAATATCCAATAAATACTAAAGTCGACTCTCGATAATTTGAAACTCAAGGGACCAGAGAGAAATTTCAAAATAACAAGCGTTTGATTAACCACGAGGGGAGAGGGGACTCAAGTAATCAAAATTCCTGATCCATTTACTTTCTATATTATTAATATGGATTACCCCAACTCCACAATACAATTATAAGAGTCTAAATGTAAAAAAAACAGTGCTAAATACTGTTTATGTAAAAGGAAGAGACCGGCGCCCAGAACACAGGGAATCACAGTGCTGGAGGCAGTGCACAATGCTTACCTAACGGTCTTATGTTGGTTAGTTTTTTTCTTGAAGGAGCCTAAGTCGAATTGGTTCAGAAATACTTCAGTGGGAGGGGATATTTGTCAGACCTGTGAGGCGCAAATCAGTCAGGGCATATAAATACCTCGAAAGTTTCCGCATTATTAGCCAGTTGATCGGCCTTGTCCTTCAAATCCTTTGTATGGGCTATCAGCTTTTCAACTTGAAGCATCTGTTCCTCGGCATCACGAGACGCGCCACACAGAGATAGCGCTGCGGCCTAGAGAACAAAATTCATTCTAGAATTTGAAGCGGATAAAGTCAAAAAGGCAAAATCATTTATTCATATAGGTAACACAATGTACACTTATGAACGTCAAAAAATAAATATAAATGCTTCTAAATTTACATTTACTGCCACTTCTCAAAGCAAGGGCGTAGAACGGAAGAGAAAGAACTGGCAATAAACTCTCCGCCACTCTTTTTAATCGCCAATAAGCGTGGCTTCCAACTCCTTGAAATTAAGATCATGCATTCGAACGCCTTCTGCGTATTAATTGATCATATAAGAACCCAAATACAGGGTTAACAGTTAATCTCATAATGTTTGTCTTTCATTCGATTGAAAAGATAAAAAAAAGTGCGTGCGTACAAAGTACCTACACATGTCACAAGTGAAACTTCTTTGGCAAACTCAGAGATTAAGAGGGAGGGAAAAAGGAAGATATATGAGGAATTGTCATTAAAATATTAAGTGTCGAAAATTAATAGAAATTATTTTTAATTTAATTTTTTAAATTTATTTATTCGATAATAAAAACTTAATTTACAATACGTCATTTGAGATTTCAATAAATTATTTTGCATAAAATATTAAATACTAATATTTCATAAATTCTCTTAACGAAATTTTAATTTTAAAAATACAATTTCTATGAGGTAATTCAACCTTCTCACCCTCTCTCCCTTTCGACAAAAACGCTGCACATCTTCGTGACGTTCCGTAAGAGTTCACTTCAATAAACGTATTAACTTTTTCCACATATAAAACTTTAAAAGAGATTTTTATAACAATATGTAATGGCGCGTCAAACGGGCCATGTTTTGCAGCAATTGATGGCTGCAACCTGGCCGGCAACATTGCAAACAATACGCCACACTATGCAATATTGCAGTATGTCCCGGATAGCCAAACATGTTTTGTATAGCCACATTGGCCGATGTTGCCCCGATGGGTGGCCGGACATCGCAGGCTATCGAATTCAACTGCAATATTGCACAGCCAGTTCTCTTGTTGTTTCAGTCACTCTCTTTGTTATGGCATAGTGTATCCTTTTCTACGCGACATGACGTTTGCTTTGAGTGAAGTGTGCCTGTTGCTTTATTCTGTGTTTTGCGATAGCTGTATTTGACGTTAGATTACTACGTAAAAATGACTACTTTTGAATTCTAGTTCTTGAATAATTTATTATCAAGACTTATTTCTAGACTCAAATTGTCTACAGTTTCACGCCTATTTAAGTAAGGTCGAATCCACAATCTCTTCTTTTTCTGTTTCTTTTTTAAAACAATATAAGCTGCTGCGACAAGTGTGATTTCGTCAGCCATTGTTGCCGGTTTGTGTAGCCCGTTTAGGAGTCTGCACTCTGCATCATGGGCCATACTATTTCAACACATTGCCCAGCCATAGATTGTTCGGCCATCAGCTGCATTAAAATATTTTTTTAATGGCCGGGCAATTAGTGGCCAACAGTGCAGCCATCAATTGCAGCAAAACATGGCCCGTTTAGACGCGCCATAACAAAACACTAAGACAATGTCATCCAAAAATGACTACTAGATACTTTAGACCACCTATTGTTAATGGGTCATCGGGGTGTTTTAAATAATAGTCGTTACGCCTACTAAATGCTGTCTCCGACACTATCGACATATTTATATGTTCGCAGAGTGAATTCAAAGTAGCGATATTGTGTATATTATGTGTTTAATATTATACACTTTTATTTTTACTCTATATTAACCACTCGCGTACAACAATCGAGAAATGTTAATTGCAATGTAACAGTCGAAGAGAGTGCCTACGTGTATACTCTCGGAGCGTAACTCCGACGATTTAGAAAATCGCCGCTCATAAAACTAAGAAAGCCTGAATGAGCAAAATGGCCTTGGCTCGTACAATTAATATTATTTTAAAAAAAATTACCCAAGCACTGCCGCCAATCGAAGCCGGCATAGCCATGTAGCAATCAAACTCCTTCTTATCCATATTCAAAGACTCCGATGTTAAGTTTTCTATGAATTGAACGGCGCAGCACTGAAATTAGTTATGAGCATTCTGGTTAATAGACTAGATGACGACTTAGGGCAAGATTAAAGAGCCCTCTGGCTCTGTAAGTGTCCATATCACTTACCATCAGATGATACCTGCACGTTTAAAAATAAAATACTTAGCGCCAATATTGAATTCTTAATGTTACCTTTAGCGCACCTATGATGACGTAGACAACAGACGCTACCATAGTCAACAGAAGATTACGTAGTGAACAGACATAAATGAGTAGAAATTACTTATAATGAGCTGTGTGTGTTATATAGTACTATGCTTGAAAAATAAGTTTAGACAATTCATGGGCAAAGAGCAAATGAAAATAATTTATTTAGAACATATCAAGTGTGAAATGTCATCTGTCAAATTAACAGTCTATAAATTTAATACAGATTATATTTGGACTCGACACCGTAAAGTAGGTCAAAGTTAATTTATAACAAAAAAGTCCTCTCCATTGATATCATAGACAATCATAGAAGTATTTACTACTTACTAAATTAGTGAAATAGTATCCTCCTTCCCCGGTCATAAGTCGTTGGGCATTACAAAATCGAGTTACGAAGTTAATGTTGCTTACTAGGCGCGGTGGATTCGCCTTTAGTACCTGGAATATTTGGTGGTTAAAAAAACAGGAAAAAGTAAAAACGTAAGCGAAAAGAGAAAATTGATTTATTAATAATATTGTATCTGTCCTGCCTACGCAGACGGTCAATAAATGTCGCGATCTAATATCACGGTACCTGTCTTAATATATATTGAATCAAATGGTCGTACTACACTTTCAATAGAAATTGACTCCAATATCAGTGCACCATCTTTGAACTCCTTTAAAAATAGATTGGATAGTTTCTCCAAATCTCAAAATACACGCGCATCAGTTTATTAAGCTGCTAGTGTGTTTATATATGTTAACGTAAAATTGTAAAAACCGTTAGATTGTAATTTATCGGTTATCGGTTATCGGTATTCGGTAGATTGTACTACACTAACTTAGTTATCATTCAAACTTCTTTGGTCAATTACAGATTAATTTTACTTCCCAACAATTTCATATAACTACCGAATAATAATACGTTAAATTGCAAGCAGTATGTTGAGTTGACAATCTTTCGACAGTTTACAATCTCGCGAGATAGATTACAATCTAACGGTTTTTACAATTTTACGGTGACATATACATAATAATATCGTTAGTACTCAGTAGTCAGAAGTTCATTCTTTGGAGTAGACGTGTTTCGTAATAATGGACGATAAAAGTAAGACCTGTATTGCCATAATTTAAACTTTAATTTACCTTAATATAGCATTAAGTTAATTAAAACAATAAATTTGCGTAATCAGTTATGTATATTAACACAAAAATACTTAACGTAGTATTTTGTAAATTAACAGTTATCCAACATCTTACAATCACACAGTCAATAAGAATTGACAGAGATTGTTTGATTACAAAAAATCTCGATTTTATGTCAATGCTACCCACACACCAATAATATTGTCAAATCAAGTTTGTCAATTTGTTTTAACAATATATACCTCCCATATTTCTCAATATTATTGCCAATATTTACTCATTTTAAAAGGCTCAGTCACAACTGATCCTGATCTACGCGGAAGTATGGATAATAAAAAAATGTGTCATATTGTGTATGGCAATAAGCCTGTTAAATAAGAAACCCGAACTAAAAAAACTGGATTAAGATGTAAGAAGAACGTCTTCCATTTTACAAAAATCAAAACAACAATAATATTTGAGACATAGAAAACAACTCATTTGACGTCACTCATAGATAAATTATGTTAAACTAGAATATTGAAGTAAGGCCCGCACACACACAATAATATTGACAATAACCCTGCCCTCCCCTGAATATTGACGGCATATTTCAGAATTTCCGGAAATTCGCAATAATATTGAACATACCGCAATACAGGCCGCACACACACAATATTTTTGACAATACGTATTTTATTGTCAATATTATTTTGTGTGTGCGGCTAGCCAATATCCTCAACATTTACATTCTCAAATACATGCGCATACTCACCTATTCACACACTCACTCATTCACTTCATTTGTAACACGAAATTTATAACTATTATTAGTATTTTTTCTTTTTATTATATCTTTTTTTTAACTAATTTTAACATGTACCACGAAAAAATTGTTTTCTAGTTACCCATAACACAGGGCCTCCCTAGTGTGGGGACTAGCGATTTATGATTTCTGTCACAAACCCTTCTGTCATTAATAAAGTTTTTATTATGTCAATATCCTCAACATTTATTTCTGCCGCGTTTGAAAGGATCACGATATATATTGACCGTCTGACCCCGCCATATAGGGAATCAATTTTGCCGTTAATCGGACCCATTTCGGTTACACCAGTTTAATTGGATAATGTTAAGAAAATAATATTAGTTTGGGATAAAATTTCTATTATGTCTACAGTTTCTGACGTAATAAATTAACATAAGATCTCAACTAAACAAAAAATTAAAAAAAAACTTAAGAAATCGACATTATATACTCACAGTGAATATTAAGGCGGGTAATAGATCATCAGCGGAAGCAGGCGCACCGCACAGAGCGAGCACGTGTTTACAAGCGCGACGTACACGTGCCACTTTCCCACCAGGAGACAACGCCGCGTCCATACCCAGCAGTTCTAACACAACATTAATAATAATCATTTCTAATAAATATATGGTATCCATGCATTCAGTGTTAGCCTATTTATTTATTTCGTTACTAAGCTTACGACATCACACACAGTACTAAATCTACTAATTATTTTACAAAATCTTACATCTAAAATGTGTGACAATTAAAGTAAACATAAGTTTCATAAAAAAAAATTAGAAATTAGAAATTAAAAAATACAATTTAAACACATTCAAGATAAGACAAGCACACAATAAAATAAAATAAAATTATAGATTTCTTAAAAGGCCGGAAACGCACTCGCGAGCCCTCTGGCATTGGGAGTGTCCATGGGCGGCAGTATCACTTAACATCAGGTGAGCCTCCTGCCCGTTTGCCCCCCGTTCTATAAAAAAAAAAAAAAATAGAAATTAGTCGGCACTTAAAGCAGAAAAAAAGAAAAATCATCAGCAGAACAGCGAAATTAAGGTTCGAGAAAGGCACCCCACAATGCTTTCTCTAAAACCGATCACCTCACTACCGAATAGAACCAGCTCCGGATAAGTTGTGTTCAAGTGTTTAAGTGAATTGTAGAAAGTGTAGTGTAATAAACTTAATAATAATCGTTTATTTACAAAGAAAGTGGTACATTCAGTTTGATTAATTATGGAAAAACTGCAAAATATATAAACGTGAATTTAATACCTAATTAATATAGCTCGACGTATCAAGTGCCTTTCAGCACTTTAAAAAATCAAAATATCATTTATTAATTTAGTTACCAATGTACACTTATGAACGTCAGTAAAAAAATGCTTCTAATTTTACATTTACTGCCAGTTCTCAAATCAAGGGCATAGAACGGAAGAGAAGAACTGGCTCTCCGACACTCTTTTAAATCGGTGCAGGCGCGCGCGCTTCGCATTGGCAAGACGCGTAGAATCACGACAGAAAATAAATTCAAGCATATAAAAAAAAGATTATATTTTAAAGATAACAAGAAGTCAGTGTTAGATTATTTATTAAACAAAAGACTATTAAGCATCTTAATATTGTCTTAGATTAATTTAATTACTATTTTAAAAAATACTAGCCATAACTATTGTAGGGTAGATTTCATTAAAAAAATCTTACCACTAATTGCTTTGTACAGCAGTTGCCTGCAAGATGCACTGTTTCTATCCAATTTGCACTCCAAATGAGTCTCACAGACCCAACTTAGTTGTTGTATACGCTCAGACATCACTCGATCTAGACGTTCGTCATCCGTCCCCGTTGGGGAGAAAACCACTGAGGGTAGTCTAAAAATTTCAATTTTTTTAATAAAAAAAAAAAATTTGAAAAATATTGAAAAATAGCATTTAAATATATGTATTTACTTTAAATGTATATTTGACACTATTGTATTGTAAGGATGTGATATGGAATTCATGAATAAATAACTCTGAATGAAAAACACTTACTCATGTAAATATTTCATGGAATGCTTTTCAACAAAGTCTATAAGCAATTCCTTTGTATCAGAGTCCACATTGCTGAAATGAGGAGATGTATCCATATGCTTCATAAAACGCTGAAAATAGAAAAGAATAAACACCAAGTTTTTAAAGTCCAATGAGTTGATAAACCGTTATTTACAACTGGTTATAGTTTCTTAAAACCAACCCATTTTATATAAAATTAATATTTATCAAAATATGGTGTATAATTAATATGTTATAATGGTTTAATTAAATATAAAACAATAAATTATAAATTAACTCCCAACTGTTCCAACCTTTTGTAAATTTAATATTATTATACAAGATTACAAAAATAAATACGAAATAACAATATTTAATTTGTTTTACAATATTGCCTACCTGATATTGCCTCTGCACCCTTTCAGATAACTCGTCGACTGTCAAAATATTGGAGTGCTTTATCACATCCATGATAAATGAGTGGGCAAAAAGCCTTGAGTCTCGGTCTATATGAGGTGTTAGATTTGGGAACCGGAGCCGAAAATCACGCTTCATGCCTTCATTAACTATAGCTGGTATTTTAAATTCAGCTGGCTTTTTTTCTGCCACATGATCATGGTCCTCTGTAGAAAAAGAGAAGTTATACAGACACAGATAAAGTCAAAGTCAAATCATTTATTTCAATTAGACCACCTAAAATGGCACCTTTGAACGTCAAATAAAATATAAAGAAGATTCTAGTTGCCCCTTCCAAAAGGTAGATTTGTGTGGAGAAGAATGGGCAATAAACTCCACACTTACTCTTTTAAAATAGGTTTACAATATTCAATAGAGTAACTTAGTCACAAACACACAATATAATTAAATTTATAAGGTGGGAAAATAATCTTACCTTCAACTATTGAGATTTCAATTATACTATAACAACTTCTACTGACTATAATAAACATAAAATGAATAGTGCTACAAGGATTTAAGTACTAGTTTTTACACTCAGAAATACGATCAGAAGCCCTACCATGAGTTTGAAAAGAATTTGTAATACAATCATATTATTAAATTGATGATGATAATTGAGGACTATATATATTACCTGTATTGCTCTTTTTGAATACACTGAATTTCAGTAAATTAGCTTTCTTCAAAGTCTCACTTTGCCTTAATCGTTTTTCTTCGAATTTTGAGAAAGAAGAATGTGATGTAACCTTGAAATTTCTTTCAGGTTTCTTCTGTTCGGGCTTTGGAAGTGTTGATGATGCCTTTTCTAGTTAAAAATAATTTTAGGGTATTATTTATAACACTGATTATTTATATGACTGAAAAGCTCTGTGAACTAAATATTTACTATTTATGGCTTTCTCAATTTTTATTAAAATAACATGAAAAGGAATGAAAACATTATATATTAAGGTTTATCAAGATTCATCATTGAGATTACAAGCCATATTAAGGGCAAATCAATAACATTGAAATGAAGAAACACCTAGATAAACTGTTTGCTTATTGAATTTGTTGCTACTACAATTTATTATTAGTAATATTTTGTATATATGAGTGTCTTAATTTACCTGCACGTCTTTGTCTTTGCAACTGTTCTCGATGACATTTTGAGCAATAACCTTGCCATTGTGGATTTCCAAAGTAATCACAACCATTCTTGCACTTTAGATCACTCTGATCTATCCTCAGCGATGGCATCTTTGAAAACATCATATACTTATAAGACCTTTGCAAATTTGGACCAAACCACATCTTATAGAGTAACTTTTAAAGCCCTGCACTCAAAGAGTCTACCAAAAACCGACGATTCAGCCCATTTCAAATTGGATGCTGAGTTAAAGCAATTCAACACTATTAGTACAATCATACACATCGCAAAACGACGTAGTAACGCCCGTTCGTCGTCTATCGTCGTTATATACGCTAATCTTATCAAGTATTGAACTGATTACGGTGTAAATTCCCTTATTAGACGAGACCCTAATATGATAAAAAAATATTGTATTGAACTGTCCGTTACCTTACCTCTAATATTTCTTATATTCCGAGGTTGTACTTCGATGAAATGTTCATAAGCTTTTATACGAATAATTTAAATAAAAATAAATTTACAGAATTAACTTTTATTTTCACACGAATCACAATACAAATCATGCAAATATTTTTATTGCAAAATTGAAGTGTTTTGAGTTATCACGATTTTTGTTATTACTGTCAATGTCAAACTTAAACAAAACAGATAAAAAACCGAAGTATTTAGTTAGATTTTCACCGACATTCTAACGTATTTTGCGAAATGTTAAATTAATCCTTGGCCCCCGTATTTTTTTCCTCTTTGGCAAACTGTGGTACCAAAATTCATTTGTAGGTGGGTTCATAAGTAATACACTTCCGTGCTCCAGTGCAATAGAAACTAAAACAAAATAAACATTTCTGCAATAAATATTCACATTGTCGCCTTTCTTATTTGATTTCTTATACTTAAAGGATGGAGAAATATTCCTATAATATTATGAAAATGCATACCTAGATTCTATGGTTTTGTATCTATCTCAAAGCAACACGGAATTACAAATTTTCATTTTGTTGTCATGGCAACAAAACTTTTTTACAACAAACGTTTGAAAGTGGTTTCACCATCAACCAAAATAGTAATTTAATAAGTTTTAATATCACTTATACGAAATATTTAGATTTGTATGCCAATAAAAAAACAACAGTTATGGAATATTCACAGATATCAGACGGACAGTACACAAAAACTATTTATACCATGGTAAGTATTATATACAATAGCTTAAGGCAGAAGGCTTTAGTAATTCTTTTAGAGTATGTAAGTATTTTTCTATTCAGAAGATTTAATGGGATAGATCGGTTGTACCAAAACAAACCAATTGCGCAAAAACATACAGGCACCCCAAATTGATAATATACCAATTCATTTGCATAAAATACGGACGTCGAGGCAGAATACAAAATTCCACCCGTATCACCTCGACGTCCGTCGTTCCAAAACTGAGCGTTTTTTAAGGCATTTTTTGCCGCGCACCACTACTATGTAGAACCAGCTGCCCACTGAAGTATTTCCGAACCAATTCGACTTAGGGTCCTTCAAAGAGAAAGGTCCTTGAAAAGAGCGTACCAATTTTTAACGGCAACGCACTCGCGAGCCCTCTGTGGGCCATGGGCGGCGGTATCGCTTAACATCAGATGAGCCTCCGGTCAGTGCCCCCCTGTTCTATAAAAAAAAACATTTCTCAAGTAAAAAAGACAACAGAACAATAATATGGTGTATCTCAAGCGGCTAACCTTCTTGCTCATAAAAATCTAGTAAAAATGTCCGAACCATGCCTTGTCGAGGTCTCTTACATAGAATAATTAACTAGTCTGTATAAGATTAATAGATACGTCATACGATATAGATAAAATCTTTGTTTTTACTACATTTCTAGGTCTAGATTAAAAAGGCCTTGCATGCCGCGACATTAACTGCTATCATGATGTTGATAGCTTAGATAAAAGTTAAATCGATCAAGCGCCCCTCCCATACGGAAGTATTTTTTATTATGAAATTACAATTATTGTGTAACATTTATACGATAAGATTATATTCCGAGATGGGAATGTGTTTCCTAATAAATAAAATGAA